TGCGGGGGAAGGGCCTGGACGCTGCCCGACCCCCAGTGCCGGTAGAGAGAGAGAGAGAGAGAGAGAGAGAGAGAGAGAGAGAGAGCGAGCGAGCGAGCGAGCGCTTTTTTTTCTCCCTTCTGTTCCTCCCCGGAGGTTGAAGATCCCAGGAAAGAAGCGCCTTCCGCCGCCGGCCCGGCCTCGGCCTCAGCCTCGGCCGGAGGAAAAGGAGCCGAGCGCCTCTGACAGGAAAGGAGGAATCCTCCAGGGCTGTTTTGGGGGTTTGGAGGTTTAGGGTTTAGGGGTCTTGGGGGTTTAGGGGGTTTGGGGTTTAGGGGTTTAGAGTTTTGGGTTGAGGGGTTTAGGGGTTTAGGGGTGTTAGGGTTTAATAGGGGTTTAGGGGTTTAGGGTTTAGGGTGCTCAGCCCTGGATCTTAAGCTGGCCTGACAGAAAAAAGGAAGATTTCTCCCAGGGGCTCACTGGATCTTAAGGGTTCCTTTTAAGGGTTCCCTTTAAGGGTTCCTTTTAAGGGTTCCTTTTAAGATGGTAAGATGGGTTCAGATGGGATGGACCATGGCAGGGACGATCACCGTTCAGGGGCTTCTCTCCTGGCGGTTTTGTGTGACCGTCGATTCTGTGGTTGTTTGTGACCGTGAGACCGTGGGGGTGATGCTGATGGCGACAAGCTCTTGAGGGCGATGAGGGGTGATGGCCGTGAACACTGCGAGAAGGACTTGGAGAGCGATGACTCAGGCCTTCGGATCTTCCTTTTGAGGCTTGTGTGTCACCTGTTTGGTTCCTGCATTTTTTTTTTGAAGTTCCCGTCCCTGCGACTGCCTTTCGTAGCGTCCTGCAAACCGGGCCCAGGCCGCTGAAAGCGAAAGCAGGGGACTGAGACTTCCGCCCCAACCAGCGCCCACTGTCTCCGGGACTCCAAAGAGGAGCATCTGAGATGCCTTCCTTGGCATGCGCCGAGATCTCCTGAAGTCCGAGGCGCCGCGCCTTCCGATGCTGCGAAGGTCTCGGAGTAGAGCCAGTGGCGATTCCCGGTTTGAAAAAAGGCCTCCAGAAGAGTATCTCTCAGCGGTCTGACGCCTCTTTTTTTCTTTTGCGGAAGCTGGATTTCTTTGAGCGTGTGTTTGTGCTTGGAAGTCACGTTTCCCGTTGGCGTTTGGCTTCAGGTCACAAGCTGTTTTGGTAACAGCGGTTGTGACAGCCACCTGTGTGTGGCAGATAAGGCCGGAAAATGGCGCACCGCACCTACTTCATGATTTGGCAAGCTGTGGCCGTGCTAGTGAGCCTTGTGAGCGGCGACGCAGACTGCTCAAAGTGCTCGTCGATTGAAGATTGGAACGATGAGCGTCTGGAGAGATGCAATGTTTGGGGTGACCCACACACCAGTGACAGCTGGAGTGTGAACGGGAGATTCGACTTCCACGGAGTTGGGGTGTACCGTTACGCACACATCGATGCATGCGGTGGAGGCTTCAAGCTCGATGCTTTCCAATGCCAGCACAGGGACTGGAAGCACTCAGCCATCCTCTTCGTCGGCATCGAGATGAACAACGGTGCTAAAGTCTTCGTGAATGGAACTCAGGCTGCGGCTGCGCCTGCTTTTTCTTTTGAGCTTTGAGCTTGGCAGTTCTTTAGCGGAAGCCGGGAGGTGTGGTTCTGGGAACCTTGTGACCCCGCCCTAGCGTCAGTGGCAGGTGTCCACTTCTGGCAGCGTCAGCGTCACCGGCACTACGGGTAGCGATGGGGAGATGCAGATGAGCAATCCAAGGCTACTTGCCAGGGAAGCTGATGTGCACTCGTTGTCTCTGTGAGCACTTCATGCAGGGAACCGCAGGTCACAGTAAGCAAATGGCTTCCATAGCAGCTCTTGCAGGGACGGCGTGAACGTAGTCTCGGACGACTCCTGCATCCGCATCAACGTCAATGCTGTGAACTTGCATGGTGATCTCCGTTGCGGGCCCCAGGGGAGAAGTCGGCTGCTGAGCTGTTTGACTTCTTGTAGCTGCTCTTTTTGCCCAGGTTCCTCCAACAGCTTCAAGGTGAGAGTTCCCCAGGCCAGGGCGCAGAAAATTTCTCAGGCTCTGTCTCTAAGCACCTCTCAACCGTAAAAGCCTCAGCCCTGACACCTTGAAGCCTCCTTGCCGCACCCTAAACGACCCCTAAACCCCCAAAGCCCGAAAAAGACTCGTTTGCAAAAGCCCCTGGGCCTGGGACAATTACGCGACCCTGTTGCAGCCCAACAAAAACACCCCTCCAGGATGCCATCAGCGATGTTGGCATCTGCGGCGCCCAACAGCAGTGGAAGGAGTAGCCTGGGACCGCAAAGACGGAGGGCGGGGTTCTGTTTTTTTTTTTTTTTTAGGGTCCTTTAGGTTCTGGTTTTTGAGGAGGTTCGGACAACAGACATGACATGGTACCTGCGCACTCGGTCTATCTCGTAGTAGTGGTAACGGCAGCAGTCCTGACTCGTGGATGCAAAGATCAGCAGCAACCATGGCCAATCGTAGTAGCAACAAAGCAAACCTGACCAGCAGAACAGCAAAACCAACTTAAGGCAGCAAACAAAACATGAATGATGGGACAATGTGCCGTTTATGTGTCGACTCTGGAGCGGCAGCTGGCTGCCCAATGAGGCACTTAGTGCGCGGAGAAACGGACTTCATCTTCAACATCGACCAGTGGCGCTACATGTGCGGCGCCTGCAGCGCACTAGGCCCAACGAAGCTTGCTCATAGAGTTGCAGCTGTACTACAGCCGTCGTCGTGTAAGACGGGAGCCCAGCTTTGCAAGCACGTTCACGGCTGTTGATTTTCTTCCTGCATAGTTCAGCTCTTGGTTGTCTGTCGTCAGATTTGTCTGTATGAGCGACTGCTGTTTTGCTTCGGTTGCTGGTTCGTGCTTGTCGGCTTTGTCTTGGGCATTACTTGTTATTAGTGTGCTACTGCTGCTGCTGCTGCTGCTGCTGCTGCTGCAGCTGCATG